GTTGGACTTCGGCTCGCTGCGCCCATGTGTCTGGAGTGCGAGCAAGTGAGCAATGTCACGTCACACCGAGGAGATGCCTCGCGCCCGCGAGGCGCTCCCTAAGCCGGCTAGCTCCTCTCCTTCTCCACCAACACTGGCGTCGAGCACGCGGCGACAGATTCACGAGGAGTTTATTGCGCTACTTGCGTCCGAGGATAGGAGCCGCTACGGCCGCACCCAGCAAGTTAATTCGAAGCCTCGTACGCCGCTCGCCCCGCCTGCCGAACGTTCAAGACCGGCGAAACTCGATGCGTTGGCCGTATACGAGGCTAAGATGGACGTGGAGGACAAGGCGTTCCCGCCGATGCGCACAGAACCCGAACCAAAGGAGAAGGCCATCGAGGTTTCAGTCCGCGAAGTCCCGTACCATAGTGGGTCGATGAAAGGCGTTTTCGCTTCGAGTGACGAGCCCCGCTATGTGTTCCCCCGCGTCCGCGACACGTACAACCAGGCCCCAAGCTCGTACACAAGCTTGCTCAGCGAACTGGACGACTACCTATTGAGCCTGTCCCCTGCCGCAAGCGACCTTCGCACAGCAAGCGTGTACGGCCACCGATCCCCGACGCACGTTGCAGCTCGAGAGTGGAAGACCGTCGAGGAGTACGCCGCCTTCGTCCAGAACATTCTCGCAGACTCGAAGACCCGTTATCGTTCCCTAAGCGAGCAAGAGGATCCTCGAACGCAGTGCGACACCCAGACTGAACTCGACCAGCCGAAGGCAACAGACGGCACGGAAAGCGAGACGGCTGCCTTCAAGAAACCAAGCGGCTTGCGAGACGCGGTTACTCGAGCGGCGCCTCGGGGCTTGAGTCTGCCGTGGAAGAAGTCGATGAAGCAGGGTCTTCAGAAGGTCAAGCGGTGGATCAGGATTATCGGGTCAAAGAAGCCTTCATTGGCCGACGCGGCCGAATGAACGGGTTGATGCTCTGGAAGGAATGGATTCCGTGAGTTTTCCTTGAGCTGTGGTGTTGTGTACGGGTCACTTAGGGAGCTCCGGTTTGTAGAATTGATTGTGTCTATTGAGGTGCGAAGCGAAGTAAGGGGTTAAGAGTACATACACAATCCTCCCTCATCCCCCTCTCGTGAATACCGCATGTTGTACTTTAGTTCGCTGGTTTCGGTTGTAGTATGGTCCTTGTATCTGTTCTGATATTGAATGTAAAGAATATTGTCGCATCGAGAACGCCTGCGTCCTACGTCTTTTCTGGGGGCCGAGCAGAGCGGGTGACTGTCGGATGGAAAGAGGAAAAAGCTTGCAGGCGTGGTGGGAACGTGGAAGTGCTGCCTTCCTCTTCAGGCAAATCTGATGCCGGAATGTCCCGTTCTCCCCGATCAACAGGAATGTGCAGTTTTTCAGCCGCGTATCTTAGCGGGCTGATGATATGTAAAATATGTCCGACGCTCTCAGCTGTTGAGCTAGCAGATACCACTAATATCCAGACCTTCAGGAGTCGCTCAAAGTAAGTACAAGCAAAGCATCCCTGGCGTAATATTAATGTGAAGTGGACGATGCAATGGGCTGACTTGTCTTCATATAAAGGCTGCTGCAGTTGCTGGCCAGCTGCATCGATTTCTAAAACTTGCCTGCTACCAACAATAATAGCAGTCACAACACCTGGATTCTCCCCTGGAGTCAGTTATGATCTATCTCCGCTAGGTATGTCCCCATAGCCTTAACGTTCATATATCCCGGGGGAGGGGCTGCATCTCGCTTTTAAGAAGGTGATTGCTTCTCTTTTAGTGCGCCCTATGTACGCTGACGCTGTTCAAGGCAATGCTCTACCATCGGACAGAAGACGTGTCTTCTACGACTCGGGGACAAATTGTCCCACTCAGCTACTGTATGAGCCAAACAGGTCTAGCATAGAGTTCTGTCCTTTACTATCACCGCCTATCTCACCTCGTCTGCGCTTCCGCTGTCGCCGCGCACTTCTTGACGGCCCCGTGTCTTCTCCAGTCCACCAATAGCGGTTTCATCCCTTCTGTCTGCTTTTTCGGGGCACAGCAAGCACGATGCTCCTCGAGGCATATTGCTACACCGTTAACTGGTTAGGGCTCGCCCTACCCTCTGGGACGTCATCTCCGCTCAATTCAATGCAGTCGTCAAACCATTTGCAAAGAAGCTCATCGAACCCACTACCAGGAGGACAATGAACCAGATTCATCGCATCTTTCGAACTCAACCTGGTCGGTGAACCATGTACAGAACCATTCGAACCCGGATAAGGAGCACTGCCCGTCCGTCTTTTTATCTCGTTTCGGGTCTGCTCAACCAGCCTCAATACGATTCATTCTTCGGCCCCCAGCTGCCAGACGTCATGCCGTTAACGGCGTATCCGTTGTTTGCGATTTCGGTTCACTCCTCCCATCTTTGACCTCGCTGCTCGCTCGCCCTCTGAGCTCCAGGTCTACCAGTTCCCTGCCCCCGCTCGAGACTCTCCTATCCCCCGAGTTCCCCACAGACTTTAACCCACGCCAGCCCGGCTACGTTCATGCATACGAGCCCATGGTGACTCGCGACGTGTCTGGCTATCTTTGTCTGGCCGACTGCTTAGTGCGTTTCTCTGCTGCAGTCGCCGTCTGGTCCCACGTTTGTGGCTGTCGACGACGATCTCAATCTCGACTGGCAGAATTCGTGGTACATATCTCTCGACTCCTAGGCATTCTGTGCTTTCGCTCTCTCCGTCTTTGAGTGCTATCATCGTTTTCAGCCATTATTACCTCTCGCTCTCGGGCCTATGAATAGTCCAGACCTGCCAGTAATCTGAGCTCAAGACGGCTTACTCGCTGTCGACTTCTTTTCCGAATCGACACTCGATTGACGCTCGATCACGACTGTCCTCTGCTTCGGCCTTCGACTCGATCTTTTCCTAACCCACCAGTGGTTTTGCGCACAACGTCTCCTGCCACCGACGCGGTAACGCTGGCCACCGCTCTCCGAATCTATGATGGGTCTGCGCTCAAGAGTGGTACCTCTAACCTCCGATTTGTCTTGGCTTATGATTCATATAGATGTATCATCGCGTTTTAAATTAATACTAGCTCCGTTATGTTTAGGCTCGATATCAGCCACCTTGCACGCAATACATGGTAGCCATTCCTGCGCGCTGACCACCATTCGACCCTCAGTACATGCCCCTACCAGCTACCGAGTGGACTGGTAACGAATCCACTTCATGTTCTGAAATATGAAAATATCATAAGGCTCCTGTGCACCTCGAGGTCGGTGTAATTATCAGATGGCACGGAGCATTGGATATCGAAAACAGGCTCCGCAGCCATACCCTATGCTCGCCGGTTGTGTTGACACGTCAGTGAGAGACACCGTGCACACCAGATAAATGTTCGAGCAGAGCGGCGTATAATTATATATTCTTGCTCTGAAAAAACACACAGCACAGCAAAAGAGTACGAGGAGAGGAGAGGAGAGTACAGAAGATGAGAATGCCAGCAATCCTCCGCCAAGAAATACCATCACCCAAAATGGTCAGTCTTTTTCGCCGCAAAGTGCAGGGTCCAGGTGTGGAGCAGTCGGCGCGCGTTCACTTGCTCGCCCGTCAACCTACACACAGCACATTAGCGACGTCCTTTCGGCAGTGACTGGAGAAGAACACTCACCCTGGTGTGCCGTACGTCAGTGGGCTGATATACACGAACATGCCGAACATGAGCAGCGCGAACACGGCGACGACAATCGGGCCCTTCATGCCGACGTCCGCCTGCTGCGGCGGCTGCGGGCGCGTAGACGGGCCGCGGATCGAGATCGGATAGTTGATCGTCTCGGAGAGCACAAAGTGCAGAACGGCACCCGAGACGAGCGCCGACGCGAGGTGCGACTCGAGGTAGTGGTGCAGGAAGAGCTGCCGGCCCATCAGGAAGAACGGGAAGTAGTGCACCGCCCAGATGAGCAGGAAGAAGCCCGTTGAGTTCCAGAGGCGGTGACGAACGGCTGAAGGAAGGAGGTTTAGAACGTGCTTGTGCGAAGGAGAGACTGCACTTACGGGTAGGGATTGGTTCAATGCCGCGACGGCGCGCGAGGAGGTCAGCTCCGAGGATACCGATGAAGATCGCTACACCGAACGTTGCCGCCAGCCATCCGATGAGGTTGCCAATAAGATAGATCTGTTTCTGGCCCTCATTCTGTGTCCAGAAGCTGATACCACTGATGAGGAACGGCCAGTTAACCGGTCCGCTCGCGTACGGGTGCGACGCAATGAGACCAGCGTTGTGCTGCAACATCAGGAGCTGGAGCTCGCCGAACTTCTTGAAAAAGTTCATCTTTTTGGGCTCCTTATGCCCAAGCTCTTCTTTCGTGCGGACTTCGCCATCTGTTCGAAGTGTCAGTATGTGCCTAATCGAGTGATAAAGGGAACAGACCCTCAGTGGTAATGATCTCATCTGGGTACCAGACCGTCGTTTTGTCGCCGACCTGCTTGTTACCGTTAACCTCCTGCTGATTGAACGCCCAGTCAGGCAGTTGTCCGGGGAAAGTCCACATCGCGACCTTGGTTGGTACGTGGATGAGCTTGAAGTGTCCAGACTTAGTCTTCCATGGACCTCCGGGATTTGAGTCGACGAGGCGCAGATGGAAGAGAGTGTCGTTATAGCGCGAGTGATCATCCTTGGGTGAAGTTGTGAACTCTTCGTTCGTTGCCATCGTGGGGGACGCGACGTCATGCGTCAAGAGTAGCGTCTGCGTGCTGACGTGCAGTAGCTGGATAGTGTCTTCGTGTCGGACGATGCGGCCACGGCCTGTCTCAGGAAGGGCCTTGGTTGGAATGATCTGCCAGTAATTGTTGATGTCATCGTGCGCATAACCAGTGACCTGTTGACCTTGGCTGCTGATACGACCGTCGTCGTACTTGAGCGGGTATTGCTCAGGGTGCGAGTGCAAGAAGACCTTGGTGTCCTTATGCCTGATGGTTAAAGTGTCGTAGTAGCGGATTTCTGTGCAAACATCGTCAGTCTCGCGCAGAACGTACGAGCAACCTCTACTTACCTTGGCTGTTCATCAACAGCTCGTTATCCCGCAAAGTCTCTTGGAACGCAGGGCTCATAAACGAATCTCCCGGTCCAGAGTAGGTAAGGATAGATAGGTGGATCCAGAAGACTAAGAGGTACATGATGAGTGGCAGGGCGATGAAGCCCACTGCGCGGGCAGTAAAGTGCTTCCAGAAGTATTCCTGAACAACAGTCAGCCATTATTGGTAACCAAATGACAAGTCATACGCACCATCGAGTGACCCTTCTTGTAGTCTAGGACATCCCAGAGGTCGATGAGCACCGCAATACCGATTGTTGCAACAGTAAGGATACCGTTAACCTTCGACGACCAGGTGCAAGCCATGAAGAAGCCGGTGGTGAGGAGCCAGCTCCACCAAGTGGGCGAGAACTCCCTGAACAGCTGTCAGACTCAGCTAAAGTGACAGAATGAGTGTCGACCTACAGGTATCTCAGCTTGCGAAAACGGATGTACGAGTAAATGGTCATAGACATGAAGAAGATGAGCGGAGCATCAAGGAGAATGAGCCGGGATTGAGCGACATGAGCATTGTCTACACACGCGTCAACAGAGTACGCGTTACGAGGGCCAGGAATATAACATACCGAACAGAATTAAAGAGGCAGAGAAGGCCGCAATGATGTTCGAGTAACCGCTTTCTTTCATGATACCATACACAACCGGGATCGTCAGGCTGCCGAAGAGAGCAGGCAGGGCACGCATGCCGACGTATGGGACATGGTTCTCGGTGTAGCTGTCCCCGATGTTCTCGAATTTGAACCTGCCGTCGAAGCCAACGAACCAGCCCGCGAGACCGAGAAGGAGCTTTGTGAGCGGTGGGTGGACGTCGAAGTAGTATTCTCGTGAGATGTAGTGAGCTGCAAACTTTCCGAAGTGTACCTCGTCGAATCTGAAGTGGTGTAGTTGAAGTTATGCTCAAAGACGCGAAGAATGTACGCGTACGCACACGACCTGGTCCGGGTGGTTGATCTTGTAGAAACGCAGCGCGAAAGCGAGGAGCGTCAGGACTCCTACAAGAGCCACGCTCGCCTCCTGCGTCTCCAGCAATTTCTCAATCGAGAAATTATCTCTATCCCTCTATGCACGCCACAGCAAGTGCACGTCAGCATACAGCCATAGCAAAGCTGGATACGTGTCACTCACGGTGCGATACGCAGCAGCGCGATCGTCGTCAGGTTCGCTATTCGGACTGAGGGGCTGAGGAGAGCGTGCTCCTGGACCGCCTCTTGCCCTCTGTCGTATGCCCACGTCCTGCGGACCAGACATGGCCTGGGGTGGTGAGCGTGGTTGAAAGTAATAGTGTGAGTTTGGGCGCCTCCGACGCGGATACAATCATGAGCTTCCGGCGCTTACGAGCATCTATTGACCGCGACCGCGAACATTTCCCAGGCCCATTCCCCACCACGATTGTTCCACGTACACGGCATACAATCATTTTGGGAGATGGGCACTGGTCTTCAGCTTGAGATAGTATCTGAGACCATCTTCCGACGATAGCCCTTGCTTCAGCCGCGCTGAGCCTCGACAGCACCTCAGGCTTATCGTGCAAACCGCTTGCCCCTTCGCTTCTCTGCTTTTCTATGCCCAGCAAATGCACTGTCACACTTTTAATCTTGAGGTACGGACATCCATACTCCCGGTATCACCGTCATCTGCGTTTTCGACACCGTAATTCTCATGAGTGCATACCGCCTTTTTAGGTGACATCCCTTTTCGTGCAGGAGGACCACGCACAGTCCAGGATGGAGGAAAAGCCACAGGCCGCTTTGAAGCTGGGATGCTGCCCAGACCCACCCGCACGAATTCTTCATCGCTATGGCCGTGCCCTGAAAGACTCCGCTTTCCTTACCCTCGTTGCACAGGAAGACCCGTTTTCTACTACATCGCTCTTTCCGTCTGTTGATGCCGACGGTGAGTGAGGTGTCGACACAGCCACCGCACTGCGTTTGTGAAAATATTTTCTCACTCGATTGACATCAGTAGTGTTTACACAGGACATCTGGTAGCTGCCTATGAACGTACACCGCGCGAATGGCCTGCCGTGTCCACGCTGGACATCACGAGTTTCGAAAGCGTATGTACATTAAGAGGCGACACTAGCGACCTGCACGCTAACTTATTCTGCTCCTTGACTCCTCTGTATCATCTGCGCAACGCAAATATATATAGACCAGTACAAGTATCCAATCTCGAATGGGCACCCTTAGATTCGATTTGTCATCTGTGAGGGCGCCTTTACGACACCTTGCGACGCTTACATGCAGGCTGCTGCAAAGTAATACGGCTTCCACTTACTCATCCCGCGCCAATTATGCGCCCTCCCGCCATGCTATGCGCAGTGTCAATGTTCGAACGTCCACACGCCGACGGTCTCACGCGGCCGGGGAGGCTAGCTCGTTCGGCTGAATAAGCTGCTCCCAAAGCATTCGCTTTCTTGTTCCTATGCCGACTTACTACCGTCCCACTGGGGAGCCTGCAGGGTATGCCACGACTGTACTAACTTCTAGTCACCTGACCTTGCCCAACTCAAGGTATCGCCGAACATACTTGCCCGAGCGAAGTTCCTATGGTTGGAAAGCAAACTCCGCGCTCAGTGCGCTTGCCCGCCCATACGTCGTGCGCGTACTCGTTATCCGCGACGTACGTCATGGCGGGATGGCCATATAAGACCTTGGCGGTAGACGAGTGTCACTATAGTATCGCCCACAAGCCTCAACATGCAGTCTGCAATTGACATCGTCGTCCAGCCTCTTGCAGGAGAGTTCAACTCTGCTCCCGACACATTGGTGTCCCCTACCCCAGTCGGCACGTCCAGTCCCGAAAGGGAGAGGTCGGTCGAACGAGCCATCGTCCACGGTGAACTGCCCTTCAGGCGGAAAATGGTCGTGATGGTCTCCATCGCTCTCACCCAGCTCGTTCAAGTCAGTATTCCCTGGATAGCCATTCATACGCAGATGCTGACAGCCTCTCGTAGATGATTCCTTTTGGCGGAGGCCTCGTGACATCCATCCATATCGCCCAATCGCTCGATCAGCCTTCTGTGGCTACTGCAGCATGGGTTGCTGCAGCCTATCCGTAAGCAACTCCACAATTAGTTGACGAGCGTTGACCGACGCTCCGCAAGTTTAACCCAGGGTGCTTTCATCTTGCCTGGCGGTCGTCTCGGCGCCGTGTACGGCCATAAAAATATGCTCTCCCTTGGTGCGCTTCTCTGGGTTGCGTTCACCATCGGCACCGGCTTCGCTCCTAATTTCATCGTCCTATGCGTCTTGCGCGCCCTGACCGGTATCGGCGGCGGTATCATGGTCCCTAACTGTATTGCGCTCCTCGGCATTACATTTCCGCCCGGTCTTTGGCGCAATATCGCTATGGCGCTCTTCGTAAGCGGCGCGCCTGTCGGCGGTGCTGGTGGAGGTGTCCTTGCGGGCGTCGTGGCACAGTTGGCATCCTGGAGATGGATGTTCTGGTTCTTGTATGTGTCCTCTGTTCTTATCGTGCAGGACCGTATCTAATAACGTGTTCTCAGCGCTATTCTCGGTTTCGTCGTGTTTACCGCGGCATTCATATCGGTACCGCATGACGAGCCTCAAGATCCAAATGGCAAGATAGATATTGTCGGTTCGTATTTCGGCGTTGGTGCCCTCTTCCTGTTCAACTTCGTATGGAAGTGAGTCATTTACTCAATGCTTCGCGACCCAGCTTGTTGACATATTACTCTAGCCAAGCACCCGCTGTCGGTTGGGACACGGTGTACATCTATGTCCTACTCATCGTGTCTGTTCTCCATGCTGTCGCGTTCGGCATCTGGGAGGCTAAGTTCGCCAAAGAGCCCATCGTACCCATCACCGTCTGGAAGAGGCCATCCTTCACCCCTCTGATCATCTCGGTCTTCCTCATCATGATGTCCTTCGGGATTTGGCTGTGGTACATCGCAGTCTGGGAGCTCACCGTACGCGACTACACCATCATTGCCGCCGGCGCAAGCATTTCACCGATCGCCGTCTCCGGCACCATCATGTCTGTTGTCGCCGGCTGGCTCATTCAGCGCCTTGACGCGCAGTACATCATATGCATCGGCATTGCTGAGGTCACAACCGCCCTCATCATCCTCGGGACGATGCCCACACACCAAGTATACTGGGCACAGGCCTTCGTTGCCGCACTCGTCATCGGTGCCGGCCCCGACTTTGTGCTCACCGCGGGGCAAGTCATCACTAGCAACGCGATGCGCCGCCACGAGCAGGGCGTCGCGGGCTCGCTCATCGGCGTCGTTCAGGTCTACGGGCTCGCGACGGGCCTCGGTTTTGCGGGCACCGTCGAGCGGTATGTGAACGACGGCGGGCGGCACCCCGTCAAGGGATTCCGCGGCGCGATCTTCCTCGGCGTCGGTTTCTGCGTGCTCGCGCTCGCCATCAACTTGCTCTTCGTGCGCATGCCGGCGGACAAACAGGAGGGCTGGACCGAGGAGGATTTGCAAAGGCACATTGCCGAGAAGACGAAAGACCCGGAGATCGCCTAGTGCGACTGAAATTTGCGCAGCAAGCCCAGGCATATCAAACCTCGCCGCGAGCACCGACTCTCGTGCCCGCCTCCAGCACGTCCGACAGGGGCGTACAGGGCACGCCACCGAGTGTCTGTCACCCAGCATAGGCACTGTAGGCACTAGTATGTACGCGATCACACCTCTCACATCGAGTGCCGTTAAAATTTAGATAGAATGCAGTCGCTCATTTGCGGCTGCATGCATTTTCATGGGTTGTGTACAATCCTAGGCTAGATTACAAGAGGAATGTCCACTATTTTCATTACTGTCGTCGTTGCGAAAGGAACGCGGCGGTAAGTTCGAAAATTCTCGAATTTCTGCCTTTAAGCGCCGCCGAGCCGGAGGCGCCCAAGGATCTCACAAGCGCCGCCGCGGCAGTTCGTCTCAAATGGAAGGCGACCTGAGTAGCAAGTATGTGCCATGTTATGCCTCTCATTCATCTCTAATCGGCACTATGATGCTCGCAATCCATAATAGCTATGTGGGTGATGCATGAGAGAACATTGCCCAAAGCCGACACTGTTTCTATCCCACAAAACTTCTCGATTCCCCGAGGGAACCAACTGTGGGAGCGGTAAGCATGACTTGTATTCCCTATCTCTCGGTGCTACAGCTCATGTTGAGCCTTGTATAGACAAATTGTCGCCCGTACCCGCACCGAGTCTAGGGGTAACGTCGGGAGAGCTATCATGTGCACCCAGATGTACGCATCATCAGCGAGCAAATGTCTCATCGCACCCGCGGTGGTGGTGCGATAATACAAGACCCGCCGTACTTCGCAAGATTCCGTCATCGGACGATAGAGCCACGAAGTATCTCGCGACTTACTGTCGGCTCTATCTCCTCCCGCAGCGTGGTTAGGATGCGCAAATGCGCACTTCGTACCCACGCCTGTCTGATCGCAAATGGCATCCGGGAGACTGTCCAGAATATTTATGCGTCCTCTTCAGATAGGGGACTATAAATCTCGGCTGTGCAACCTTCAGGCCCGAGAGCACTCAGGCGGACGGCCGCTATGTCTGCAAACACCCCTCTCGCTGCTCTTCCCGTCCTGGAGGGTTCACCTGACACTTCTGACCTTTTTGAGGAGAAGATGCGGGATATCAGCGCCGATGAAGTCTCCAAGAAAGAAGGCTCCTTCGGACAAGACTCGCTCGTCGAGGACCTTTCCGATAGGGAGAGCGCCCTTATCGTGAACGGCGAGCCTGTCATCCGCAACGGCGAGGACGTCTCGAACTATCTTATCAATATCCGCGACGATGGAGACCCTGCACTGACTTTCAGATCTTTCGTCCTTGGTACGCTGTTCGCTGGCCTGGGCGCTGCATTGTGTCAGGCACGTCCACTTCCTGCGTCTCTCACCGTCCTTCACGGCTCACGGCTGGGCAGATCTATCTCTTCAAACCGGTCCAAGTAAGCGTCTCGACGGTCTTCCTCCTGCTTCTCATCTACTCTGTCGGGAACTTGTGGGCCACGATCGTACCCCGCTCCTCCTGGGTTAAGGACACCCGTTTCGAACGACTCGCGCCCATTCTGGACTTTATCAACCCTGGCGAGTTCCGCTTGAAAGAGGTCACTGCTTCGGCTCTGCGTCGGAAATCGATACTAAATGAAGTCTATAGCACGTTATTGCGTCTCTGGTCGCTTCTACGGCTGCCGGCGGTAGCACCGCCGTGATGAACTTTGCTGTCCAGAAGGTTGGTGACCTTCGTCCAATTTGCTCATGCAAACTTAACGTTGAATAGCTCTACTATTCGACGAACGTTCATGCTGCCACCGCAGTGCTAGCCACTTTCTCCACCGCTTGCTTCGGGTAAGCTACCTGCCCCAGACCGGATTGGGTTTACGCTAATTTTGCTTCGGAAGGTATGGCTTGGTTGGACTGTTCCGCCCTCTTACAGTGTATCCGAGTGAGATGGTGTACTGGAGCGTATGTCACTCTCATTAGTCTTTCTCTGATCGCGTGACTCAGCATACTATTGTAGAACTTACCCACAGTGTCCATCTTCCAGGGTGAGATATTGCAGGTTTGATGGTGTACGTCGACTCATGCGTGTCTTATCTTATAGCTCTGCACTTTGACACAAAGGACAACAAGAAGCGGGTGAAGCTCTTTTGGACGGCCTTTACCGGCATGTTCTTCTACGAAGTGCTGCCGTCCTACATCTTTCCCCTGCTCAACGGTGTCAACATTGTCTGCTTGGCGACGCAGCATGCCTCTCCCAACGCCCAGAACATCATCACAAACCTGTTTGGAGGCACGGACGGTAATGAGGGCCTCGGTTTCTTCTCGTTCGGCTTTGACTGGCAGTACATTACCTCCGCGTAAGCAAAAAAGGCGCATTTCGTTTGATATCCATAACTGAACCTTTCTATCCGCTGGCAGATACGTGAGCTTGCCACTCGTTCAGCAAGGTTAGATTCACCCGATGTCTTCATGTCGCTTTCCCCGCGCTAACCATGTGCGAAGCGAATTCGTGGATAGGGATTGTCGTCTGCTATGCTGTCATCATGGGAATCTACTATTCGAACGCCTGGAATGTAAGCACTTTACCTTACTCAGCTTAACTCCATTCTGACACGTAGCTCTTCGCAGTCGCTAGCCTTCCCAATGCTATCAACCTCCCTCTTTGCTTCGAACGGCTCAATTTACCCTCAGGAGGCAGTCTTCAACGACAACTTCTCCTTAAACAAGACCGCATTGAATGAGATTGGACTTCCAGCTCTGACAGGTAGCTCCTGGTGCGACGCTCCTACGTTCACGTGATGCTAATAGAGGGATTTGAGGGTCGAATGCATGGTTTAACCTTACTCAGAATCTTGCCATTGGCGGTCTCATCGCGCACTGCTTCTTGTTTTGGGGGCCATATGTCGCGAAGTCGTTTAAGCAAGCAAGAGCTGGTACACAGCCTGATCGTCACTGGAAAGTGAGCTATTTCCTTCCGCACTACCAAGGATCCGTCACCTGATCGCATCCTCCAGGCGATACAGAAGTACAAAGAAGCGCCCTGGTATTGGTATGTAGGGCTGCTTCTACTGGCTTTCTTTGCTGGTCAGTAGCACGCCCAGTTGATCCCGGATGACGCGATGCTCACAACTCCATCTAGGCCTAATCGTTGTGCTCAAAGGCGAGACTACCCTGCCGTGGTGGTCATATATCATTGCTCTCTTACTCGGCAGCGTCATTGCTCCAATCTCATGTCTCCTGTTCGCGCGCATGGGCAATGGAATTGCAACGAACCAGCTCATGAAGATGGTAGCAGGCGCGGTCAACCCTGGAAAGCCTGTAGCCAATCTCTACGTACGTGCCGCCGTGCCTCGCAGAGCGCAGTCACCTCATTTTGGCGACAGTTCTCTATGTGGAGCCACGACGTTGTCTCCACTGTCGTAGGTCTTTCCGGGGACCTGAAGATGGGACAATATCTCAAGATCCCCCCTCGGGTCATGTTTCTAACACAAGTCTGGGGTACCATACTGGGTGCTGTGATTAACTATGGTATGGCACAGTTATCGCTGTTGAAATGGTTGCTGATAGTCCTTGCCAGTGGTCATGATTTCCATTGTTGACGCTCAAAAAGAGATCCTGCTAAGTCCTCTGGGAACGAACGTTTGGGTACGTCCCTTGCATTTCCGGTTTGATACACCTAACCAAGCGGCGTGTCTGCCAGTCCGGTCAACAAACTCAAAGCTTGAACAGCGCTGCGGTAACATGGGCCCTCGCGAAAGAGCTGTACAGCCCAAGCGGACCATATTTCGTCATTCCACTGGGCCTAGTGATTGGAATGGCTCCCACTTTCTTGCAATGGCTCATCGCCAAAGTAAGCTGCACACCGTTCACACGACTCAAATGAAAACCTGATCATCGACATTTGGTTACAGCGTTGGCAGAAGATAGGACCCATCCGCATCAATGACATTGTGCTGCCTATCATCTTCAATTACTCCGCATTTCTCAGCGCAGGTACCAACTCACCTGTATGGAACTCCATCATTGTCGGCATCGTCTCCCAAGTCTGGCTTCGGCGGTACCATCCGGGCTGGTACAAGAAGTACAACTACATCTTGGGTGGTGCACTCGATGGCGGAGCACAGGTCATGATTTTCATTCTGTCTTTCGCTGTGTTTGGTGCGTCCGGGAGTGCTCGACCGTTCCCGGCGTGGGCGGGTAACCCGGCGACCGGAAATGTTGACTATTGCAATGGGAATGGCGCACTTGACAGCAACTGACGGCGTTGATTTTTCCTGTCGGCACTGTAACTTTCTGTATGGTGGGATAGTAACTTGTTCCAAGACAGTGTGGAGTATAAACGTTTAAACGGTTGTGCGATTTCGCCGCCACCACTCCGGCGCTTAGTGCGGCCTCTTTGCAACTGCCATCTTCCCTGTCCTGGATCGATCGTGTCACGCTATGCGAGGCTGTTTGCCGTGTAATTAGCCTTGTGGCATTTTTTTATAGACTGCTACGGATACCTACTGACATTTAGGGCTGCTAAGATACGCCTACATGATACCCCTCCTCCAGCGCAGGTTGACAGAATGAGATAGTGCAGATCAAGCTTTCATTTACTCTCATCGGAAATCGGGATGGACCACCGGTACTAGGTGCAAAGCTTATGGTGCGTTTTAATGACCTGAGAGATGCTCCGATCCTCATATGATCACTAGAACGCATGGTTCAATATAGAGCGCATCACAGATATTGTGTGAACAGTCTGCTAGACGCGTGGAATCCGTCCAGGTGATTTATGCTGTCTCCCTCCTGCATGCCCTACATAGCAAAACCAACGGCTTTCTTTTGTCCTCGTAGGTTTGTCCGGCTAGGACACCCGCATCGTACCCGGAGTGTTTTCGGGTCACAGGAGCCTCGGCGCTCTGAGCGATTGTGGCCGTAAGCTTCTCTCACCGTGGTTATCTTGAACAACCGTTATCAAAGGCATTCTGCGCAGACCAAAGATAACTCCTACATACCGCACTTCGAGTCGGAAGACGTAGAAATACCCTGGAGCATTACGACATCTTCTCGAGCCAAATTAGGCACGCGCACACGTACCATCATACGCATCCCATGTGCTTCATAACCCTGCGCGATAAACGCGCATGACGCCGAAGTCTTATGGGCTGGGATGGCTCCTCCCCCGTCTTCCGTGTTTTTGGCGATAATGACCGATCTCATTCGTAGGTTGACATGTGGTCCAGAATGACGGGGCCTGCAACTGTTCTTCTTCATTATCCGGCCCTTGGTAACAGAGAGATCTACTTCTTTGCACACTCACGACGTTCCATTTACGCTTTGTGCACGTCGCTTCTCCTGCCAGCACACGATCTACTTCGCTACTTCTAAAGCGTTCGGGTCTTGAAGCTGAGCAAGCCTAGATTGAAAGCCACGGCGAGCATGTGGTGGTATAAGCCGAAGGTGAGCCGTCGGGCTGCTGGTTTTCCTTTCGGAAATCGTTTGTTAAGCGTCGTTCTAGCATATCTCCACGATAGTCCGCGTCCCTTGTGACAGTACACCCTCGGCATCTCCGACAATGCCCTCTTGGATCGTCGCGCCCACATTGCTCAAGGCACGGTGACCTCGGGCGATGCGCCCCACATGACAAACCAAGGGGGTTACAGAAGCAACAGCGCATGCTCTGTTTTGCGGTAGCCTATGGTCACTTCCTTGTCATCCGTGTGGACCACCAGCGTTGTCCACTCATGCTCTCTCGTCAAATCAGACGCCAGTATCGTACCGCCTGTCCTCGCTGCTACATTGGGAGCAGACATGGCGCTTTCTCGCTTTACACTCTCAGACATACGAATGTAGTCACCTTCGCGACCTCATGGTCCAAGGCGCGATACGACAGACCAGCCGCGCGCGGGGCCGCCAGAGGACGTATAAATGCCTGCAAATGACTGCCATGAAGCCCTCAGCAGCTTCTCAGCTCGCCATCTCCTAGAGGCTACCTGCAAGACCTCAGCTACCATGGTTCTCCTCAGCTTCCAGAGCATCCTCGTGGCAGTCGTCCTGTCTGCGTTCACCAATGTTCTTGGTGTACTCGCTGCCCCCGCTGGGTGGGACAAACTGGACCACGAGGCTCGCGAGATCCTCGCTCGTGCCACTCCGGCTGCACCGCACTGGGTCGTATACAGCGACGAGTATACTAGTGGTATTACTGGCCCCCCGGCCCCCTCTGCCATCACAGTATGTGTCCAATCAATTAGCGTGTCTTTCATGCACCTGATTGTATCCAGGGCTTCAATGTCTTCGCACTCTCGTTTTTACTGATCGAGGGGGCTTGGGACAAAGCTGAGGAATGGGCCAGCCTGAGTGCTTCTCAGCGATCAAGCCTCAAGTCCCAGTATGAGGCTGCAGGCATCAAACTCATCGTGTCGGCCTTCGGCTCGACCGATGCCCCAGCCAGCACTGGTGCCGACCCTGTCGCGACGGCCAACACTATGGCTGCATGGGTCATTCAGTACGATTTGGACGGTATCGATGTTGACTTCGAGGTATGATGCCGTACGCTTTTCCCTACATAGCATGCTCATCAATTGAATCCAGGACCTGAACGCTTTCGATGAGGGTACCGGTTCCGCTGAGCAGTGGCTGATCACGTTCACTCAGCAGCTCCGCACTCAGCTGCCTGAGGGTCAGTACCTTGTCACGCATGCCCGTATGTACCTTTTTCTTCTCAATCCTTCGTAATTTTTCAACAGTTTCTGCCCACAGCTCTTGCTCCGTGGTTCTCTCCCACCTTCTGGGGTGGAGGAGGCTACCTCAGGGTCCACAACTCCGTTGGCAGCACCATTGATTGGTACAATGTCCAGTTCTACAACCGTGAGCACGCCCCGTCCTTTTTCGGCTCCAGTTTCTGATATACTCGTTTACAGAGGGCACTACTGAGTACACCACCTGTTCCGGTCTGCTCACCGCCTCAAGCTCGACCTGGCCCGAGACCGCGCTGTTCCAGATCGCGGCCTCTGGTGTCCCGCTTAGCAAGCTTGTCATCGGCAAGCCTGCCACTGCCAGCGACGCGAGCAACGGCTACATGCCTACTTCCACGCTCGCGACTTGTGTAGAACAAGCCCAAAGTCAGGGCTGGAGTGAGTGATCTCCCCCCCAATTCTCACGCATATGCTGACAGGGCGCTCTGCACAGACGCAGGCGTCATGGTCTGGGAGTTCCCTGACGCCGCTGCCGCCTGGATTACCGCCGTACGCGCCGACTCCTGGCCCGTCTAAGCGACGGTTTCTCGTGTCGCGAAAAACTCAGCGCGATGAGTTCGCCGTGTCCCCCTTCGTCTTCTTGCTGTTTCCTCTGTTTTTGAATGTACCCGTGCTTCTGCTCTTCGACATCCGCGGGGTAAAATGGTGTATGTATGTATATATTTGTATCTTCCGTCGTTTTCGCGATCGTTCGGCGATCGCCTTGTGTAGCAGTAGTGCATCATGAATGACATCACGGAGTGGTCTTTTAGAGTTTTTTTGGGCGCACATCGCTAGAAAATGGGCGAATAAATCCCAAAGACGACAGTGTATGGGTGAGCAGCGCGGGCGAGAGATACGTCGAGGCCAAAAGCGTTCTCCCTTGGGCAGACAGGAGTGTGCGATCAAGACGATACAAGTTTGCCATCACCAGTAGAGAGATCGACCAGTGTCTGTACGACAAGCTGCTCACGGCGAGATCATCGTCAAGTAGAGGCTTCGGGCCGCAGGACCAGTCAACGATAGCAGCGTCCTCTCCTTATTGACCTCCTACTGGATCGCTTCTAGCGGTTCTTCGTCATCACAGACCCATCAGAAGGTCGTGGTGAGTGTCGCAGCTTTGGCTAGCTTTGGCAGCTGGAAATAGATGATTTTGCCGTGCCCATGTGCAAAAGAGGTCGGCGCTGCGTTTTGATACAACAGGTGGGAGGGTTGCCAGGGGACGCAAACTAGCGGGGGAGACTCTGTGGCGCGGTTGCTGGGGCGTTGGGTGCCTGGTCGCACGAGAGGGCGCTCGTTACATGCGCGTCGAATACTGTTGCGGTTGGGGTCTTAAAAGAGACATAATCCTTGTCTCACAGTACAAACAAGAATCAGAGCATTTTCTAGAGCGTATGATCGTCAAGATCAATGGGAGAAGTGTACTGTACCTGGCGGAGATGGACCTTTGGCAGAACCGGCTCCTTGAACGAGATCCGCTCAGCTGCAAGTAAGTATTGTAGTCGCATGTCATCGTCGGTGATAGATAACTTTCAGAAGGTCATGATGTCCTTGAACTGACTAGAAATTTGGCGGTCTGCAAGCTTCGCAGGAAGACAAATCAGCCCGCTACTCATGAGTGCTAGTAGTTTCTGTTCAATAGTTCTTTCCAGATATGAAAAAAAAATCACTGACATGCGAAGCTGTAATCAGGCGCACTCGTACTGCAGCCTCCGTCTTGCGTATGGTTGGAGGAAAAGGACGCAATCGACAAAGGGCGGGATATTCCGGCATCAGATTTTCCAAAAACGGAAGGCAGCTCCTCCGTGGCGCTTTGGACCCAGATATCCGCCACGCTTTCGAGCTCTCAAATCTACCTTATTTGAGGATGGACTCCTTCAGCCTAGAGCCACGTAGGATATGTAGCTCAGAGTACTCGCCCAAGGATCAATTCGAGAGCCACGTAGAATATGTAGCGCAGAGTTCTCGCCCGATGGGCAGAAGCGAGCTTTCGACGATGGTTCCATATTCCTCAACTGTGGTAAGCGACACCTAACTTGGGAGTGGAGGTGGTGGCTACTGATAGTCGATGAGCCCGCTGACTGAGCTTGTAGGTAGGCCTGAATGCTGGTTGTATGTGCAGCCGGCGTGGGTAAACGTATGGTGAGGTTCGTCATTGGCGAAGAATATTTCCCCACCGGTTTTATCAATGCAAGGAGCCTCCTAGACCGTGGCCTCCGCAACCTTCCCCCTAGTATAATTGGGCTGGCTAAGTTCAGCCGTTGGATCAGTTCACCTTGAGTTGGGGTTACAGTAGACTCGCCGATAAAGTTTTTCCGCACTTCCTCCAGGCCATAACTCACGTTGTGCGCCACAAAATTCTTCCGCAAAGCCATGAGAAATTTTCAGATTGCAAAGGTTCGACTTTCGACACTAGTCTCAGCAGCACGCGGCGTTCTCTGAGCTCAAGTTTGAAAGTAGCGCCGAGTGTGCAACCCGGCGTCTACGATCTGTCCTCTTCCCACCTCCACGTCTTGCTTCGCCGATTCTGCATTTGAACTGATTGTATGCGCTCTAGCCTGGTCTATCAGACATTGTCAAGCCCCCACAGACCCTTAAACACCGATGCTATTGCACAGGTTTCTGGCACAGCAGTATCGGGATGCTTGCTCAGTCTTAGACAACAGAACAGGCCTAGGTCTCCCCAACGACGGCGTGTGGCGAAGTCCAGTAAGTGGTTGCATAGCTTGTTAATAATTCCACAGCCTTCAGGAACTGAGCTTCGGAGCTTCGCAACTTGCAGAGCTCTCGAC